CGTATTAGGACTTGACGTTGTATTGCCAATGACATTCAGGGATTTTTTTCCGTATTCACAGGTAAGTTTACAAATTTTATTCTTAACACCCAGCAATGCATACATTTAAGTATTTACAACCTTTACTCGTGTTTCATTGCATCTCCTCACATTACCTTTCTAGCAACGTTGTAAAAAGGAAGCATATGGATCACCATGATGTGTTTTGCCGCGATGAACGTACCTACATCATAACAACACAAAACTCCGTCAAAGCCACAACACGACTATATTTGATATGTTGAGTTTCATATATACAACATGAATTTTGAAAGGATTGGTGTGTTTATCTAAACAGGTAAAATATGTTATTTACAAACCAAAAGCGTGAGTAAATAAATCACTGTTCCATCTATGATGTGCTGAATAGTGATATTATAGGTAAATATTTGTAAAAGAAGTATGTATGAATGTAGATAGGATGTCATTTTCTGTATTCGGCATTAAAGATGACGCAAATATCATTTTTAAAGCCATTACAGTTTGACTGATATTGATTTTTGCCTTTGTTCGCCAAAACTGACTGAACACTCAAATATCTGGCCTTTCCTCCCCATAATGACGAAAAACATCCTGGCAGCATTACTTTCACTGTCATGTGAGTATAGTCAACTCCCTTCCCTCATTACTTTGGCCCAGAAAAGTAACATCCGCCTCCAAAACAGGAAACAGCCAAATGACAGACAGGTAGTGGCTGTAAAAACCCAATTTGGAAGCATTCATGGCGCATTCCATACAAAACCGGAAGTACTCCTTGGTGGCAATGTGACCATGACTGTCAAGGTCACTCTGACGGGTCTACAATCTGTGTGAGAACACCTTCTTGGATACAATCATAGGTGTTTTTTTTGCCTAACTTGTCTACATCCTGAGCCGAGTTGTGCATGGAGAACTTTCCGACAAACAAATCTGGTAAAGGGACAGGTTCCTTGGTATCGTTTCATATAAGAACAAACTTAGATATTGTTTTTGCAAAAAGGATTCCTGTTTCTGTTTCCGTCATGGCGATTGGCGATTTCTTGAGGTGGAAATCTTCCGTTGCCCAATACCCTTCTCTGACAATAACAAGTGTCTGGTTCTCCGTGAGTCGAACATGATCGATGTAGCCGTGGTTGTACACACAGTTGAAGGTATCCCTCATTGTGCTGATTGGTATGTGACCTTTAATGGTTCGTTATATAAGTAAATGGTTATGACATCTGGCAACATTTAATATGATACTAATAAAAAATACAAACAAACAATTCAAATGCACAATTAGATTTTTTTTTTTATTAAATCCATTGATGAAATATTTATTTTTTATCTTATTTATAATTCTTATACATCAATTTACACTCGAAAGTAATTTAGAGTTAATTTAGAAAAGAAAAATAAATCGAACAACAATTGAATATCGTAAATTAAACGCCGTGATTTGCTTTATGAGTAAAAAGTAGGCAAGTATACGACCTTTAGCATATAAAAAGGATTAGTTATTAGGAATCAATGTTTTCATTGTGATATCGGGTTAAGACAAAGAAAAAATGTATCACCTTTTAGTTCATTTCTAAATTATGTAGACGGTTTAAAGACTGTAAGAGATCTTAACTGACTAAATAGAAAGTAAGAAGAAGACCTTCACGTATATATCACGTATTCCGTGCATATCTCAATATATTGTTTACTGAATGTCTGTATGATTTAAAATTATTCGTCGTATTTAATGAATACTGCAAAGGTTGAAGATTAAACGTTCAATTTGGTAGAACTGATGAATGATAAAAATATTAAGCTATTAGCAAAGGCAAAAATATGCGTAAAATATATATATAATATTTTTTCATTTTTTCATTTTTTTTTAATAATTTATTTTACGACTAATATGTATTTGTATATTGCAAATGATTGAAAATAATATCATGTTACCCATTTGCGTATAACATAATGGGAGTATTTAAGAATATGAACTTGAAGCGAATGAAACATATATTTACCTGAGTGAAACAAATGGAAACATATTTATCTGAGCGATCAAAATACCCAAACGGAAAACCCCTGAATAGAAGTTTTCCTTGTAAACCAGTAACACTCTTGATGATATAATGCGTCATAATTGCATTCCTTGTCGAACACCTTGTGCAGTTGAATACAGAATAAAACGTACACTGTAGACTTCTAACAACCCACCTGTCAGTCGTACCATACAGCGCATCGGAATGCGTGGGTGATACATGATCGGCTATATATTATATATGTTTATTTACCAAAACTTTGATGTAACGAAACTTTTTATTTGCTTATAACCAGGTAGTATTGGACGGTTAATCATGCACGTGCATGCATTATTTTCCAACAGGTCATGCACGTGTAACGTTCTTCCAAAAAATGTCCCCGTCAAATGTAAACAATTTTGCAGATTTGCTAGCGGACAAAGAAAAAAGTTTCTACTTAACATCTAGATCTACCTTAAACTTGTCAAGTTCACGGTCATAATGTTCCTCCGAAATTACTATGAAATTGACTTGAAATAGTGTTTGTACATCAGTCAAATGCTGATTTCATGTGTTGATGAGCTATGTCGATAGAATGGTGGTTTTGATTGATTGAAATAGACATCTGGTTCACATTATGACGTCAGTCGTTATCGGTAAGTGTCTGTTGACCAACTTACGGACTGATTTATGAAAAAATCTTTCTAAATTATATCCAGGTTAAAAAAAGACGAAGCACCCGTTTGAAAGTACATTTTACCTTTTAATCATCACTATCAATACGTATTTCTAGATGACGTAATAATTGTGTACTTAACAAAAATGACGTTACTTTCTTTTTCATTTAGTAAGTGTATATGGTTCGATTTTAAATAGTTTTCATTATAGTATATTTGATTCATTGATCGACAGTAGGCTTTTATCTACCTGGAATGTATTAGACCAAAATAATATGTCTCTGACTGTTTTACCGGTCTTTTATATCAGATGGGGTACATTGTGAAAAATAACAAGCCTAATAGGTGGAGTCCTGTATTGCCGCACTGATGAACCACAGCATAACCCGTGTGTGACGTCTAATGACGTTAGCTGGAATGGTACGTGGTCCACTCTAGTATAAAAGCTGATTTTGACTGCGCCGATCTCGTTTCCCTAGGACACCAATAGCATATAATATATAGTTGATAGCTCTGGATACTCGCAAGTCTTTCCAGTATTTAGAAATCGTTTTGCCTCAGAAATGTTCAAATGACGTGACATGTTTTCGTTATTTTGTTGGAAGTATCGCTCACTCCATGACGCTTCAATAAACTGACAACGGTAGGTCTCAATATTTCATTTTGATAATGGTACCAGTCAAATATCCAGTGAGGATAACACTAACAGCCATCGGAGCAGGTCCGGATACCAGTAAAGTCGATTGGCTTGATTACGTCGTGCCAAAACGGAACCCGTATAGGGCGGTAAGCAATCAACGACTGTTTTACAAACGATTGAGAATGGTTTTTATACTCACATGATTGCTGAAGAAAACTTGTAGATTGCGAAGCCGTATGTAAGATCGTCTCGAAGAGACTTGGCACGTGGTTTAATTGCTAGATATGGAACGGTCAGATGTCGACCCAGTGTGGTTAAAACGGTTCGCAACCTTTTACTAAAAATGTTAACCTTTGCATACTCTAATTGGTAGGATTGCTTTAAATACTTCTAGGTTTTAATTGATGCACGAACGAGCAACACATCCGATGGGTTAATTCCTTTCCAAGCATTGAGGTAGCATGTTAAGGTCAAGAATAAGTGAATTCAACAAAAGAAAATATTTCTGCAAAAATAAACAAAACTTACACCATTTGTCTACCGAGTTAAACGTCATCTTACAAGCAATGGTTTACAGGTTTTCTGCATAGGAAAACATATTTAACGTTTCCTTTTGTTTGGTATATTTAATCGCAATATTTTATTGATGCTTTGACCCCGTTACAATTCACTATCAATAACATACACTTACTGCTACAAAATCATACACTTGTACTAATACTATACACTTACAAAAGTTATACGCTTTGTAAAAATACCTTAATTACAAACAATAACCCAGTAAAAATTGTATAGGTGTATACAGTGTTTTTAGTTAAATGTGCTTTTAGCTGTCTCTTCAGTTCCTACTGCTGGCTTCTCCCATTAGCGTCAGGTTCTAATCTTACCTTGTGTGTTCTCCGTAGATTACACTGGACTTTGAATAACACCTGACAGGATGTCTTATTCAGGAATTATGTAGATCACCACATATGACTTAAGAAGCATTGAGAAAGAATTGCATCATGGTAGATACCTACAAATCATATTTGTCAATAAGAACGTTGATTATAGCATAAACCACGCAGACGTAATGTCACAAACTAGACTGTAGTCTATGGTCCAGTAGACCATTCGTGTGAGAGAAAGCAGCGTGTTTTACTATATGAAAATCCTAAGTCACGTACATATATATAAAGTAGACAGGAGCTCTGGTTACCGAAGAACAACACATAAACAAGGTATAAAAGCGACGCCTTGATGTGTATATCGTTATATTTTTGTCGTGTTGTTGTAGAAAAGTTTACAACCCTATAACACAATGTAAAGTTTTATTGATATATTCATAAGCTAGGTTTTATAAATTGTGTGCAATATTACAACTTCAAGCCTGTCGGTAGTTTAGGCAAAACATTTAAACTTGGATGTCCAGGTAATGATTTTAACACAACTTTCCCTAAAAACAAAAGAGATTTAGGATCAAAGTATTTCAACAGATTTTATTGACTTTGTATATGTCAATTGGATTGGACATCAGGCTAGGTATTTAAGTCCTTTCAAAACTTATTTACAAACATTACATATATTCTGTCATAACAATCCAATTAAACAGTGCATGGGAGATAACTCTAATTAAGCTTGTGAAATGAACATATTTCAACTTTTATTCAATCATTTACTGTTTATGTTTTGGATATTAACAATTAAATAAATCATGTACATTTTTTGACAACCCATCCTACATAAAAGCCAAGGGATACAGGCCCAAAAGTCCCTGTGTATGAACACATTGGCCATCTACCAACTGGATCAAGTATTAGGTTCAATACACTTTAGCAATTTTTTTTCTTCTGTATTTAAGCACTTGACAACCGATTATAACTGCACAAATGTTTTTCATATTAACACAACCTTCTTATTGTAGATATGTAATTGTGTTAGATCATATTTCAGACAATAAACCATCTAACAAGAGAAGTATTTACTTTAAAACTAAGCATGTACAAAAGTGTGATTTGGTTTTCCGCTTTGATCGTAATTTTATCTTGCAACAGCACATACCTGACCGTCAGAACTAAAAACGTCTTTTGTTTACTTAAATAACCATATATAGAACATGTTCATATGGTTAACATATACATGTTGGTAGGAAACGATATATACATATTAGCTAAAAAAGTATGTGGAAACATAAAGTTTACAACACAGCAGACGGTAAAGAAGGGAAATTATAAGCAAATCAATCTCAAAAAATGTATATTTGTATGGGCATCTGTCGTCTCTTTCTATTCTTAAGGAAACATTATGTAAGCGTTGCTAGGAAATGACGTCACGATATCCTTTACAGTTTGAATGATATTGGTTTCAGCTTTCTATCACTGAATAAAAATGAACACTCGAATATCCTGTCATTCCCTCGCATAATTAAAAAATAAATCTTTGCTGCATTACTTTCACATTGCCATGTGAAGATCGTCAACTCCGTTCTCTCAGAGATTGGACTGAGTAGTGTGACATCCGCTTCCAAAACAGGAAATAGCCAAATTTCAGACACGAATTGGCGATAAAACCCCGATTTGGAAGCTTCCATTGCGCCTTCCATACAGAACCGGAAGTACTCCTGGGTGGCAATGTGACCATTGCTGTCAAGGTCACTATGGCGGGTCTGTAGTTTGTGTGAGAACACCTGCTTGGGTACAATCATAGGTGGTTCTTTGCCTAACTTGTCTAATTCCTGAGCCGAGTTGTGTATGGAGTATTTTCCGGCAAACCAATCTGGTAAAGGGACAGGTTTCTTGGTATCGTTGCATATAAGAATAAACTTAGACATCAGTTTTACAAAGAGCGTTCCTGTTTCTGTTTCCGTCATAGTGACTGAATCTACAAACGAAGATTGCCCAACTGATTTCATTCCTGTCGTGCATTCAAAGGATATTGGATTGAACAATGCAGCCTTGGCGTGGAAATCTTCCGTTGCCAAATATCTCACTCTGACAGCAAAAAGTGTTTTGTTCTCAGTGAGTCGAGCATGATCGATGTAGCCGTGGTTGTACACACAGTTGAAGGTATCTCTCATTGTGTTGATTACGTTCCATATTGGTATGTGACCTGTTTGAAAGTGAAAATACAGTTTAATATTCAATATAGGAGTAACAGAAAGAGAAATTAAGACAAACATGTGATAACACTTATACAAATCAAGCATTCAGTCAAACAACAAGACAGTTATGTATTGAAGAGAATCTTTGTATGAAATGGTAGTTTACATACAGTATTAGCTTTAGCAGCTTTAGTTCATAAAATATTTTTTTAAGATAGAAAATGTCGAATGTAAAATGATAAAAAAAATATGTGAATATCATGAATATATTTAGAGTAGGTAAGTTTTAGATTAGGTTGAGCACAATCAATTATTAATGGCTAGCCTTCATCCGATTCCAGTAACCATAATATGTATTGACATGTTGTAGGTCAAGATATGAGGAGTCTGTGGTCTCTTTCATTCGTTATTTCAAATATCAATAATAAGCCAGTATTTTTTTTAGATCGTTATTCAAGGACAAAATAATGCCAATATAGCTTAATAAATGCATTAAATGAGCGAAGAGTTCGAAGTATGAATATCTGTCCCTTTACGCCTGATTTATTTTTATTTTTGCCCATGCTGAACAGCACCTATTATGATTTTGAAACAACATTTAACAGAATTGTATTTGGAGGAGTGGTTCTAAGTCATCCAACATGGGTTGATGCAGCTTTCATTTTCTAGTTTAAGAAAATTCATGTCAGAACTTAATCAAAATACCGTCAAAGTGTTAATGTTTCCAGTATGGAAAATATCATAATTTCCAATTTCAGAAACCGGTTACTCGAAATAACTTCCGACCGAGTAACTAATGAATCGGTCAAATTGTGTACTCTTGACATTATTTTACGTCTCATCCTTAAAGTTCTACCTCGCAAACTCGGCAATTTACAACATTGCATTCTAGACCACTTTAAAAATATTTTCGGACATTTTATGAAGTTTTCGGCATTTCTTTGTTAATCTTTACTATCAAGTACAAAAACAACACTCAACACGAATTGGTCTGTCTGAATACTATTTTTATAAAAATAAAAAAAATCTGCTTTTGTTATTTACATACTTGGAAATTTATTCCATCAGTACTGTGTTCTCGACAATCATTTTAAGTCAAATCCAGTGCAAATAGGGAATTTATCACCTCGTACCAGTACCGATCTAGATATAATTATATAATATAAAGCGTCGTACATTTTTTGTAATTGTTGTAGACCCTGATAATGATCTGTTTATATAATGTAACCGCGCTGGCAAACAACATGTGCATACGAACAAGTAAAATGTGAAATAAATATACAGAGGCTAACGTCACTGATAGTCATACTTGGATGCAGCAAAATTACTGGGATATTAACATATTTAGTTCATTAATTATTTTATTATTTAGAATTTGCTGTCTGTAGAAATGTAAGATAACAGTAATTTAAGGTATAAAAACATATGGTTGCACCAGAAGGTTTATATATCTGCTGCAGTATTTTGTATGAAAATGGAGTCAAAATCAAATGCACCTTCACAATCAATATTTCTACCTTTTTTAAACTATCTTAGCTAAAATACAGGTGTAAAGATGATTTGTTTACAAAAGTAGAGGTTCCTAATAGTTATAGATCAGTTGTAATATTTTGCATATTTTTTCGTAATCTTGAATTAAAGACTTTAAAATCATTAGACCAATAAAATGTTACCAGACGAATCCAAATTGTTCTCCAAAAGAAGTAATCCATAAGACACCACATATTTGATATGCGTTCTTAATTCAAAATATATAAATTAATTGAATTTATTTATTGTGATTTCGTTGACTTAAATGAGCCAGGTACATATTACGTATACTTTTATCAATTAGTGAATTCAAATATTTCGTTTACAGTATCACTTTAACACAACGGGAAAAACATAATCTCCGTTTCAATATACTTTAAAAGACTCCACGGACGTTATAACTTATGTTCTAAATAAAAGTTCAAAAAAGTTGATATTTTAACCTTGTATTACTTATATGCTTGCTATTTTTGTCTACAAAGGAAAGTTATGGATCAAATCTACTTTACATCCCTAACATCATTACAAAAAGATTCATATAAGAATTTGAGACGACCTACGAACTAGGTTGTGATAAAGCGGTATATAAGAACCTCGAATTATGATTATATAATTATAAGAGTAACCAGTAACTTTTATCTTCCTTAATATTCTTTGTTTACTGCATTGTTACTACCGAGATCTTCATTTGTATTATACGAACTTCTAAATAATATCAAGCTATTTATATATGTCACACAAGTATAACTGGGTATACTGTGTTTTATTTTCTTACATTGAAAATAACATATTACATTTATAAAAGAAAGCAAGTTTATTCAGAGCCACATGAAGAAGTTAACGTGAACGACACGCTAATCGGTGACCGCACAGCACGAATGCGGTAACGTGTAAATGGAGGCAAATTATATTTGTCTGAGCCTTAGTCCTAATTATTCTGACGTTTTATCGACTTTTTTTATATCGGTCTGTCATCGATTGACGTCTGAACTCCGGCCCTCTATAATATGCGGGAAATAAGCGACCCACGCGCGGGTCGCACTTCAAACTGATATTTTAGAAACAAATCGTCACTTTCACACACATCAAAACCCACTCATCTACCTCTAAAATTGTTTTTACACTCCTTCTCATTAAAAATATGCACCTGAAACGAATGGAAACATATTTACCTGATCGATCAAAATACCCGAATGGAAGACCTCTAAAAAGAAGTTGTCCTTGTGCACCAGTGATACTCTTGATGATGTAATGCGTCATGTTAGCAGTCCTTGTATCTTCACGGTAGACGACTAACAAACCACCTTGCTACCAACGCTAAACAAATTCCCAGCAAGCGCAAGTCATAAACTCGTGTTAAATTACGTCCCTGCCCTCAGTACACATGTAAAAATTACAGATTATCCCTATGTAAATTAATGTACAGTTTAAATGGTAATATTTACATTTGCACTGCATAGGGCCTAGATAACTCTACTGGTCCCATTGTAACATATTTTCCAATGAACTACAACGGGGATTAGGTCAGTGTAGTGATACACTGACCTAATTACCGCCAAGTGGCGATGTTCCGCTGTGTTGTGTCTTAAAATGTTATTGTATAACAGTCAAATCGTTAAATGACCACAACATATATTAAAATGGTCACATGTTAGTATACAAATTGGTAATTGACATATATGCATTTAAATTTAAAAAAATCTATTATTAAATTGATGTGTTTACTGTGGAACTTTCTTGTTTATTATTTTTGTCGGCCTGGTTGCCCTTGACAACGACTGTGGAGCGAAACTACCCGGCTGTTCCGAACAATTTACCGCTGACCCAGTCGGTGTGTATAAGAGTTTTAAAACAGCAATTAACAATACTCGCAACATTGCACAACTAATATTGTTGGTTTGGAATATAAATATAAGGATTGGTTGTCATATTTTTGACGTTTATTGGCGTGTAAACTACATCGGGCTTGCGATATATTTAACATGGTGCGCTAACGCGCACCATTCAATATATCGCAAGCCCGATGTAGTTTACACGCCAATAAACGTCAAAAATATGACAACCAATCCTTAATCAAATATAGGTTAACTATGACAGAGAAATAGTTGTATATTGTAAAGATGATAAATGTCATCCACGTAAAACACATAAATAGCCTCTATGGTTTGGAACAGACATAAGCATACTAAGGCCGAAAGCGGTCAGGCACTTTACAAGCATTTATACTCCGTTTCTGTACCGCGTTACACCTTTATGTGGTACAAAAACGAAGCATTCATACTTTGTTTCTGTACAATATACATTATTGTGTGGTACACAAACGAATAATACAAAAAAAGAACTTTTTTTTTTTTAGTAAGAAATATCCGGGTGTTTTTTTTAAATAATAAGTATTCTGTATGAGCCCCCGACATAAGAGTTAAAACAGACCTCAATATTCCACATATGAATAAAAACTCGGTAATTCTGACATTGCTTCTCATTATGAAAACATACTTCTTGGCAGGATTACGTTTACATTGACAATACTACCTTTTAGCCGTCACTCTCAATACCCCTTCCTAGATGTCGTAATAAATGTGTACTTAACAAAAAATAACGTTACTTTCTGTTTCATTGATTTAGTGTATATGGATTTATTTTAAATGTTATTAGCAGTTTATTTGAACCATTGATCAACAGAAGGGTTTTATCTGCCTCAAATATAATGGACTAAAAGCATACGTCTGACTGCTATCACCGGTGTTTTATAACAGATATGGTACATAGTGGGAAAATAACAAACCTAATAGCGGATGTGTCCCAAATTTGCCTGTATCAATGATGCGCCGCCGCATAGACCGTGTGTGACGTCTAGTTAGGTCAGCAGGAATGATCCTCTTCTCTTGCATCGACGATTGGGCGAGTAGCTGTAAGTTACCGAGCTGATTTTGGCCTCGTCGAACTCGTTTCCAAGTGACATCAATAGCATATAATATAGTTAACAGCTCTGAATACTTTACAAGCGATTCTAACATTTATTGTTTTTTGCCTCAGAAATGTTTTCTTGACGTTACTTGTGTGTGTAGGGTTTCGATGCGCTATTGGAAGATAGCGTCCTCTCAGTGGTGCTGTAATAAAATGACGCCAGCTCGAAATATTTCATTTTGGTAACGGGCCCCAGTCATCAGTTATCAGTTGAGGACAAAACTAGCCAAGAGCGCATCATGACGTTAAAAAATAGTCATCTTTGTGGATGAAACACAGCGCTGAACATTCTCTAAGATGTCGTTACACTTGTATTGATCCATTCCATCACCATGAGCCAAACAAAAGCAGCGTTCATCTGACAAAAGTGTGTGATTCCATTGTCTTAACCACCATTGGTGGATCCCCGGGGCCCAATTAAAGCGTACTCACTATAACAGCTGCAGAGGAAAACTTGTAGATTGCGTAGCCCTATGTAAGGTTCTTTTGAAGAGAGTTGGCATGTACGTTGTCCGTCAGATTTGGGACGTTCAGATGTCGACCAAGTGTGGTTAATACGTTGGGCAACTTGGAACAACGCTTTATTAAAAAAAATAGTATGCATTGTTTTTTTGTTTAATGTGTCTTTAACTGTCTCTTCTTTTCCTGCTGCTTTGCTGGTCTCATCAACGTAAGGTTCTACTTGAGCCTTGTGTGTTCTCCGAAGAATAAGTTTACGTCGGACTTTGTATAACACATGAGAAGATGCCTTTTTCATGACTATATGTAGGTCACCAATGTTTTAAGATGCATTGAGAAAGTGATATAACGTCGTTTATTGATGGGAAAGCCAAACGTCACGTAAAGTAGAGTGTAGTCCAGGGTATCAGTAGATCAGTCGTGTGAGAGAAAGCAGCGCGTTTTACTATCTGAAAACCCTTAGTCACGTACACATTTATAAAGTAGTCCATGGTCCAGTAGACCATTCGTGTGAGAGAAAGCAGCGCGTTTTACTATCTGAAAACCCTAAGTGACGTACACATTTATAAAGTAGTCCATGGTCCAGTAGACCATTCGTGTGAGAGAAAGCAGCGCGTTTTACTATCTGAAACCCTTAGTCACGTACACATTTATAAAGTAGTCCATGGTCTAGTAGACCATTCGTGTGAGAGAAAACAGCGCGTTTTACTATCTGAAAACCCTTAGTCACGTACACATTTATAAAGTAGACAGGAGCTCTGGTTACCGGAGAATAATTTATAAACAAGATAAAAGCGAATTGGAGACGTCTTGATGTTTTTATATACACCAGCCAGAGTGTGCCTTGGTAAATATGATCCGTACTGACTATATACGTGGTCAACACCCAGTCTCTCATCACATGAATTCAGTGAATACAGCAAAACACCATATAATATGTCTTTTCAAACAGAATCTCACGAGTCTACCACCAGCCGTAATTTTATACATTGCGTAAATGCTGGTATTAAACAGAAATGATTTGACAAGGTTTTCATGACCAGTCAAAAAGCTCCTTAATAAAAGCAGCCTTATATTAAAAAACAGGTGCGTCACAAGAGGGGCACAGTTTGTCTCCGTCGAATTGTCTACATTCTGCCTTTATCGTGTTTATTCCAAAATAATCTATAACCATATATTTAAAACACTATGCCAAATTTTATTTACATATTCATACGCAAAGTTCTTTAAATTTAGTGCGATATGAAAACCTCAAGCCTGTCAGTAGTTTTGGTAAAACATTTAAGCTCGGTTGTCCAGGTATGTTGATAGACAATTATCACATAAAATCGGAGGATCTTAGCAAATGAATAGAGATTTAGGATCATTATGTCCAGTTAAAGCATTAGATGCAATCTACTTAAATGTGGGAGTCATTTCCTATGTATTTAAACACTTATCAACCAATTATAACTAAAAATATGTGTCGTATCAACACATACTACTTATTTTAGATATATAACTGTGATTATTTGTATATAATAAAGCATCTAACAAGAGAAGTATTAATTTTAATATGAAGCTTGTACAAAAACGTGATTTGGTTTTCAGATATGAACGTAATTTTATCATTCAATAGCACATCACCCACCGTCATAACCACAAAACGACTTTTGTTCACTCAGTGAACATCACATAAAACATGTACATTGATAAGATTAAAATGTCAATGTTGGTAGGAAAAAATATGTACAGTAAGTAGAGAAATGATTCGCGAATCAATGTCAAAAAAGTACATTTATATGTGCATCTGACGTCTCTTTCTATTCTAAGCATGAAACATACTGTTAGCTTTGCTAGGCAATGACGAAATCATTTACAGTTTAAATGATATTGGTTTCAACTTTTCTTCGCCGAACAAGAATGAACACTCGGATATCCTGTCATTTCCTCCCATAATAACAAAATAAATTTTTGCTGCGTTACTTTCACATTGCCATGTGAAGATCGTCAACTCCGTTTTCTCAAAGCTTTGACCCAGTAGTGTTACATCCGCTTCCAAAACAGGAAACAGCCAAATTTCAGACACGAATTGGCGATAAAACCCCGATTTGGAAGCTTCCATCGCGCCTTCCATACAGAACCGGAAGTACTCCTGGGTGGGAATGTGACCATTGGTGTCAAGGTCACCATGACGGGTTTGTAGTTTGTGTGAGAACACCTGCTTGGGTACAATCATAGGTGATTCTTTGCCTAACTTGTCTACATCCTGATCCGCGTTGTGTATGGAGAATTTTCCCACAAACCAATCTGGTAAAGGGACTGGTTTCTTGGTATCGTTGCATATAGGAATAAACTTACACATCAGTTTTGCAAAGACCGTTCCTGTTTCTTTTTCAGTCATATTAACCGAGTCTACAAACGAAGATTGCCCAACTGATTTCAAAACTGTTTTGCAATCAAAGGATATCGGATAAAAAATGGCTGCCTTGGCGTGGAAATCTTCCGTTGCCAAATACCTCAATCTGACAGCAAAAAGTGTTTTATTCTCCGTGAGTCGAGCATGATCGATGTAGCCATGGTTGTACACACAGTTGAAGGTATCCCTCATTATGTTGATTACGTTCCATATAGGTATGTGACCTGTTTGAAAGTGAAAGGACAGTTTAACATTCAATATAGGAATAACAGAAAGAGAAAGTAAGACACACACATGCGATTACACCTTTACAAATCAAACACTCAGACACACAGCAATACAGGCTATATCATGCAGAGAATATTTTTAATGAAATTGTAGTTTAGGTACAATATTAACTGAAGTTGATTTAGTAACTTCTTTTTTAACTAGACAACGTGGATGTTAAATGAAAAGTGAGTATCATGAATTTATTTAGAGTAGCTAAGTCTTAGATTAGGTTGAGTACAACCACTTATTCTTATGTAACCCTCATTCGATTCCATTTACCGTAATATGTATTGTCATGTTATAGGTGAAGATATGAAGATGGTTTGTGAACTATGTGGTCTATTTCGTTCCTAACAAGCCTGTAGTTTTTCAGAATTGTTTTTCAATGACAAATTAATACCAATATAGCGTAATAATAATGCATTAAATGTTAATTAATGCTCTTTTTTAATAAGAGTTTACGTTAATCTGTCTCCTAATACTACACATGGAGATTGGGTTACATTCGTTAACAGTAATATCAAGAAGAACTGTTTTCAAATCCATAATCTTGATAACCTAGATATAGAAATTTGAATAAGGTACCCTATAGACTAATCTCATCCAGATAGTCTTGAAAAAATGTACGCCTTAATTTGTTTGGGATTTGTTAGTCCATATTGAACGGCAACCATCAAGATTTTTGAAACAAAATATAACAAAATTGTATTTGGAGAAGTGGTTGTATGGTCATCCAATATGGGTTAATGCAGCGTACTTTTCTTATTAAATATTGCTTCATGTAATAATTGGATATTGTGTTATCAAAATACTGTGAAAGTGTTAATGTTTCCAGTATGGTAAATATCATAAGTTCCGCGCTTACTAGATCATCGCTAAATATACTGGCATAATCATATTTACTAGGATTGTAAAACGGACGAATGTTAGTAACCGGTTACTCGATCCATTTAAGAATCTTTTGGGGCTTTTTATTAAGTTTTCGGCATTTCTTCGTTGATATTTACTATCAAGTACACAAAACTACTAATCGGTCTGTCTGAATGCGGTTTTTATAACAAAAAAACTGCTTTGGAACTCATCGATACATTTTTTGGTATAAGCCAAGTAAACATGATTTCGTTGACTTAAATGAGCCAGGTGCATAATTTGTACCCAGAGTTGTTGTTCGTATGCCCAAGTGATTGCAAGGAACGACACCTCTAGGTAGAAAATGCTCATGCAAGGTAAAGCATTACTCTTAGACATGTATTTGGCTAGCTCAGGACAGGATATGGTTCTTTAACCAACTTGTCTGCCAATTTTTGTTGGCCACGTATACCTGCGTCCCTTATCAAAACCCATGCACTCTAAAGTTGTTTCTCATACTCCCTCCCATTTTCATGTTATGTGTAAGAGAAATTACAAATGTGCACCTGAAACCAATGGAAACATATTTACCTGATCGATCAAAATACCCAAATGGAATGCCTTTAAATAGAAGTTGTCCTTGGGCACCAGTAACTCTCCTGATGATGTAATGCGCCATGATAACGTTCCTGGTCGGACCCCTTGTACAGCTTACCACTGAATGAACACTGTAGACGGCATATGTAAGGACTCGTGCACCGGAACCAGACAATCAGCAAATTATGTTATACCACAGCTACGATGCAGCAACACTTTGCAAACCCAGTCATAGCTTCCGTTGCGACACGTTTAATACGTACATTGTCTGTGTATCAAGTAAAATTTAGATTAACCATGCACTGTACTAAACGGCAACTCTTTTCATTTGTAAAATGGAATTATGCATGTTTTCCCAACAAACCATGCACATACAACGCTGTTAGTAGTGGAAGAAAGGCTAGTTCTGGTTCACTTTCACCCGTTGGACTAACATGGGTGGATACCCGATGACGTCACAGAATTTCCGCTCTGGGAAAGTGCCGGTTCTGGGCCAGTCCCCACGCCTATGTAATTCTATAGCACCACCCCGCACCACTTTGTAGCACCACCTTAACCGGCTGGTACCGTTATGATGACGTCACGGTTTTTTTCCGCGTTTGATCTATGTTCAGATTCTGCCAGTTTCAACCGGATCGGTATTCTAGAACATTCCCGAACGCTAAAATAAAATCGAAAAGACGTTTTTGTGATATATGAATAAATAAATCAAGACGATATCAATGTATTTCATTGTCTCTGTCAATAGAACGGACGCGGGTCAGAGACCTATCCCACGTCCACCAGGATACCATTTCCCGATGTTAGTCCAACGGGAGAAAGTGCGCCAGAACCGGCATTTCTTCCACTTTTGCTGTTCCATCCGCTCTTTAGTGTGCAGTATATGAGTCAACTGACGCGATAAATTCCCAAAAACGATCATAATCGACCCGACCAAAAAACGTTAAATTGAAACAAAAACAATCGATCAAAAAACCCATATTGAAAACCTCTAAATAGAAGTTGCCCTTTTGCACCTGTGATACTCTTGGTGATGTAGAGCGTCATGATAGCATTCCTTCTATCCATTCTACTGCTTAAGCATTGTTTGTTCACTGTGGACGATTAAAAAACCTCCTTCCAACCATTGCATGCTCCACACACCGGATTATTTTTTTATAGTAAAATATGGTCGGCTATTACAAGACACGTACGTATCCTGATATAATGAATACATATCGTAGATATAAATTTTAGATTGTCCCTATGTAAATAAATGTATAAAAACACTTTCGTATTCTATACAGTTTACATGGTATCAAATAAAGGTTAACTATGACACATAACTAAGCATCATCAACGTAAAACACATTAATAGCCACTATGATTTGGATAAGACAGAAGCAATCTTATTTTCCCAGAATATGAATGAACACTCGGTAATTCTGACATTATCTCGCATAATGACAAAATACATCTTTGCAGGATTATGTTCACATTGCCATGTCAAGATGTTCAACTCCTTTCCCTCAACGCTCTGACCTCGAAACGTAATATCTGCTTTCAATATTGGAAACAGGGAAATATTGGAAACAAAATGGTGATAAAAACCCGATATGGAAGCGTTTATGGCACATTCCATGCAAAACCGGAAGTACTCCTGGGTGCCAACGTGGCCATTGCTGTCAAGATCACTATGACGGGTCTGTAGTTTGTGTGAGAACACCTGCCTGGGTACAATCATATGTGGTTATTTCCCCAGCTGGACTGTAGCCTGATCTGAGATGTATTTAGAGTATTTTCTGACAACCCTATTTGGTAAAGGGACAGGTTTCTTGGTATCGTTGCACATAAGAATAAATTTACAACTTGTTTCTACAAAGGGTGTACCTGTTTCCTCCTCAGTCAATGTGGCCGAATGCACAACAGAGGACACGCCGATGTGTTTAGGAACTGTCGTACATTCCATTGAAATCGGATTAAACATGACTGCCTTGGTGTAGAACTCTTTTGTAGCTAAGCAACTCACTCTGGCTGCATACATTGTCTTGTTCTCCGTCAGTTCAGCATAGTCAAAAGTAGTCATGACTGTACAAACAGTTAAAGTTATCCCGCATAGTGTTGATGACGTTCCAGACAGGTATGTGGCCTGTTAAAAGATAAAATAAACGTAAAAACGATTTATGAATAAATAAAGGTTACTCAAGTAAATTGTCTAAGCATAATGTTGGGCGGTAGTTCAGACAAGAAAAACACACTTTTAAGAAATGGGGCAGCTATGAGGTAAAATACGATATGTATTCAAGCCTTTGGTAGTTCCTGTAAATCTATTAATGATCCTGTCACCATTGTTTTGATTTTGTCACTTATTGCTGGATACATAGAGGAAGCGATTATCACTTAAAGAATCATTATCGTTACTGTTCTGTCAACAACACATAAATTTGCATAACTAATAATCTCAATGGCTGTTATACGCACAGTAAAAAGTGGTATATGATAGATATGAATCAAATAAACTTGTAATAATACCACACACATACTGCATTACCTAGTAATACTATTATTCAATTATTTTTACAATATCAAACACTAAAATGTTATCATACACATATGTGAGCATTGTTTGTTATTATTTATTGTGGTGTTTTTTTTCTATTTTTGCATTCTTTCGATTTATCAAAATATATACGTCATGCAACATGTTTTCTGTACATTTTACAATACATCAAATTACATACATAATATAAAATGTTTCCTGTATATACCAAATTACTTCAAAATAAATACCTAATTTAAAACGTTTTCTGGACATTTTATATTACTATTACTATCACAGGTTTTCTGTTTAATCTATATTACTTAAAAATACATACATAATTTTACAGGTTTTCTGCATATTTTATATTACATCAAAATACATACGTAATGTAACAGGTTTTCTGTATATCTTATTTTACTTCAAAATACATTCATAATGTCACATGTTTTATGTACATTTTATATTATCTCACCCCTTGCAGGTTGGGGATCGATAAAAGAAAACACCTGCTGTAACCCACTGCATATATCGTAAGAGGCGGCTAATGTTGAACCCCTGCAGAATTTGGGATTTGCTCTTGCGCACTCCACTTGGGGGACACAAAGGCGACCAAAATACTGCTGCACCCATTGCAACATGTTGGATCTTTATCTTTCTTTCTACTTCTCACTTCCTTTTATTTCCTAGCGCCTAGCATTGCGATACCCCACTTTTGGCTTTAATGTTGAGCATTTACCAAGGTGAGGAAGGCATTGGGTTCTGGTCCTAAGCCAGGACATACCAAAGTCCTTAAAGATGGTATACTTTGTTATTCTTTGCTTAACGTTTAGCATAGATGGTAATGACGACAACAACTGGTTCACCCGTTATCAGTATAATGTGACTGGGCGGAATGCTGTGCTTGGTTCCTTCGGCATGGTGTTTCAGTGAGATAACACTATAAAGTCGGCATCAGATCTACGCTATATCAAGGAAGCAAGTACGCCAACATACCCTGTCTCCAGCACACATACACACTTAAACGCTTACACAACACACATGGAGGCATATCCTTAAATGACCTTGGAGGTTGATAGGACGTTAAACAAAATAAAATCAAACCAAACTACTTCAAAATACATTGTGTCTTCAAAATACATACATAACGTAACATGTTTTCTGTAAATTCTATTTTACCTCAAAATGCATACGTTATGAAACAAGTTTTCTGTAAATTTAATATTACTTCAAAACACCTACATAATGTAACGTGCTTTCTGTAAATTTAATATTACTTCAAAATACATACATAACTTAACATGTTTTTGTACATTTTAGATTGCTTCAAAATACATTCATAATGTAACAAGGTATCTGTACATTTTAAATTGCTTCAAAATACATTCATAATGTAACATGGTATCTGTACATTTTATTTTGCTTCAAAATACATACATAATGTAACATGTTTTCTGTACATAAATAATACATAATGTAAAGACAAGATTTGGTGTTTTTTCCAAATCTGATTTATGTTAATATAGCATATCTGCTTAATCGGCCCACATTAAATGTCACGTTGTTGATATATTCTTAAAGGTATTTGCTATCAAGTCATTTTTTCCAGTCAGTTGAACAACTTGAACGCTCATCATGAATCTTAAAATTTCCTATTTTGATCATTCTTTTATCTTCATTACTAATTAAAATTAATGCATTTTTCATGTTGAACAAACTTTTTATAGCATAGTGTAAACAGTATATGTCTATATGCTTTTTTATCTGTTACGTTGGCTTTCCATACATACATAATATAATTTATAATGGCAAGACAGTCTAACATTTATTAAAAGAACAATGCCAATCCTTTGTTTGATACGAGTATTTAAGATATATGTTATATTTTGAAATATAATATAAACTATTGATAAACTTTGAGATATCTTACGTGTATTATACAAACATTTTACATTATATATCTAATGTGACGAACTTATTCTTTGTATTATCACTTGACATAACCAGGGAGTTCAACTCTAAATGGCAAAACATTATCTTATAAACGAATTTATGACAACATGTATAATACATTTACATAGTTTATATATCGTTTATATTTTCCCAGATAACTTTTATGATATCAATATATTCTATATAATTATTTTCATCAGATATTATGTGAAAGACAGACGATATGATATAAATTGATAACAAACAATATTTCACATAGTTATATATCCTATAAAACAATCAATATATCTTATTTTAAAAGATATCCAGTATATTTTATTGAATTCAGAATCGACATTGTTACTTGAATAAAAGTAAGTTGGCCTGTCATACTCCTTGGGTATTGTAGAATACATCAAACATAGGAAACGTTATAGTCTGAGATATTCATTAATGTTCTATAAAATGTCCTTTAAATTCTGCTCAGATTACTTTACAATCTGATTAAAATAATATCCTACATAGTGCATGTCAAATTGATTACTTTATTACACATACTTTTACACTACAATTTATATGCGATACATTTTCTAATACACTCTAATCATATGTTATATAAGTCTCATTATAGATTTCTGTCATATAGCCAAATAATGTATGTGCTACACTATCATATTTTCTATCATATAAGGTTATACTTC